TGGTAGACCAGGCTGGCCTCGAACTCACAGAGATCAGCCTGGCTCTGCCTCCCAAGTGCTGGGATTAAAGGCGTGCGCCACCACCGCCCGGCCGTTAAAATAGGCTGTTTTGACATTTCCTCTGCCAAGGGAATTAATCCAAAACTCTTCACTTTAGCCTCAGGCATTCTTCTCCAAAATATCACAAGACTGGTCTCTAGGCCACACATAACTTTCTTCTCTGAACCCTCTTGATCCAGGCCCCACAGTTCAAATCACACTCAGCACCACTGTCTTCCATGCTCCCACTAGGATGGCCCATTAAGCAGCACTTACAGCACCCAGCTGCTTTTCTAATCCACAGTCCCAAGGCCCACATGCCTCCAAACAAAAGTATAGTCAGATCTATCACAGCAATACCCGACTCCTGTTACCAACTTCTTCTTAGTTAGGTTTTCTATTACTGTGAAGAGACACCATGACCATAGCAACTCTTATAAGGAAAAAACACTTAATTGGATGGCTTACAATTTCAGAGATTCAGTCCATTTATCATCATGGTGGGACATGGCAGAGTGCAGGCAGACTTGGTGTTGGAGAAGTAGCTGAAAGTCCCACATCTTGACTCGCAGCAAAAAGTAAGTGGTCTGAGTCACTGGGAATGGCTTGAGCATATATGAGACCTCAAAGCTCTCTTCCACCTTAACACACTTCCTCCAGCAAGACCACACCTCCTAACAGTGCCACCCCTTTGGGGGGCATTTTCTTTCAAAGCACCACACCTGGGTACAACCAAGGAATGCAGTGTATCAAAATGGACTTCTCCAATGTCACATAGATGCCATTCTCACAGCACAGCTGCCAACTGGATTTAAAGCTTGTTGGGACTGTGGGTGTGTCCTGAGCTAGGACCAACTGCCAGTCTCTTTGAATCAGAGCAGCCCTGGCTTACTCCGTGGGAGAGTCTCTGGTTCTCCCTCCTCTGCCTCATAGCTGGGTAGACTGGTCCCTCCATTTTTGCTGCTTAGCTGTCTGTTTCTTTGGACACTCCACTGTTCTGTGATCTCGTCGGATCTCTTCCTCTTTCTGGTTTTGGTATAGACTGTGTCCTTTGTTTTCTGATTTTTATCAACCCCTGTCCACACAAGCACACAGAGGCTGCTTCTAATCTGCCGTCCTAGTGTGATCCCTGGGATAAAATGTCCTGCACAGGCTCGGGTGTTTCAACACTTGGTCTCTAGCTGATAACACGGTTTTGAGAGGCTGTGGAATCTCTGGGGTGTGAGACCTGTCTTGCTGATGTAAACATCCAGGGGCAGGTCTTAAGGCTATCTCACCTCCAGTTCAGTCCAGCTCTCTGCTCCCTGACCTGTTGAGAGGTCCGGCCACAAGCTTCCACTGCCATAGAACAAGCTGCTCCAACCACAGAGTCTTCCTGATGATGTCCCAAAGCCGTGGGCCAAAATAAGTCCTCAGTCACCCTGTTAGGTATTTGTCACAGCTGTGGGAGAAGTCACTAATCCATCCCCTCTCAAAGTATAGCTCCTACTGAATACATGTTGCTTTTTATCTTCACCATACAATTTTAAAAAGGGTATCTACTGAACCATTGCAAAACACAAAAACCATTGTGTTGATTTCATCCCCTGGATCCTACAGAAACCAGACTCTGCTGCTGGCGCCTTCATCTTCTGCTGCCCTCTAGTGGTGACTCCTTTGGCTTCCCTGTCCTCCCTCATGCGCATCCCAGGGACTAACACTGCAGGGATGCATCTTTTTTATTCCCTTTTCTGCTTCTGGATGTTCCTTAGACCAATTAATTTAGTGATATTTATCTGAGTAAAGGAAAACAAAATAAAGCAAAAATCAAATCTCAAATTAAGCAGTTCCTAGAATCAGGGCAAATTCAAAGAACTTTAGACAGCAATATGACCAGATAGCATCTTAGAAAACCAGAGGTGAGGAACAGAACGTAGCTTAATGGGGGTACAGCTTAGTCAGCCACTCAGCTGGTTACTACTCAATGAATCAGTTACAAGACCTCCTGCACCAACCACTGCACAATGGCTTCGGTTAAACTCAACATCAACTGGGTCTTTCATTGCTTGGGTGGGAACCCAGGCCAAGTTCCAAAGGCTCCTGTAAATTTTATGTAATACCAGTAAGTTACAGTGTCTTACTTTTCACCCAGACTGACATGGAACTCACTACAAAGCCCAGGCTGACCTTGAACCCTTAGCAATCCTCCTGCTTCTGCTTCCCAACATACTTGGATCAGGTGTGTATATTCAACTCCCAGAAATATTTTTCTACCTTGTTCCTAAACCCCCCAACTTTGACTATCGTGTGATCACATTTGTGAGTTAGTTGGGCTTTTCATTGCTGTGATAAAAACTTCAGCAAATCCACTTGAAGGTTTTTTCAGTTCAGGGTATTAAAGCCAGGGACAGGCTAGCCCAACACTCTACCACTATGCCACATCTCTAGGTGCTAGGGAGTGTGTGCTTCTGGACTCCTTGTTAGAGAGAACATCATGGGAGTGGGAGCTTGTGAAGGAGGAGGTTATTCACCTCATGGAAAACAAGGAATCAGGTACAACCTCCACACACCTCCTGTGACCTGCTTCCTCCAGCCGGGAACCATCTATTTAAGTTTCCAATCTCGTCCCAAATATCACCATCCAATGAAGACAAGCCATTCAATACAAGAGCCTACAGAAAACATTTTACGTGAAATCAATAACAGAATATATCAAACCAAACCTACTTGGCCATCTCCTACCCCTGGAGGGTGTCATTCTTTGTGGAGTAGACCTCTCGGGTCTCTGTATTCTCCTAGGCACTATTCCTCTTCGGCTGTTTGGATACTTGTATAAATAACCCTCCCAACATCTTAGCCTCTTATTCCTTCCTCTGACTTCCTTTTGACTTTTTTGCTTGTTTGTTTGTTTTAGTTTTGGTTTTTCGAGACAGGGTTTCTCTGTGTACCTTTGGAGCCTGTCCTGTAACTCACTTTGTAGACCAGGTTGGCCTCGAACTCACAGAGACCTGCCTGGCTCTGCCTCCCAAGTGCTGGGATTAAAGGCATGCACCACCACTGCCCAGCTCCGATTTTGACTTTTGCCTTTACTTAGCCATGCTCACCCCTGGTCACACCAGAAAACTTATTCTCATGACTCCACATCCTTCAAAACTTCTGGTCTGAAATCTCTCTCTCTTGAGAGCAGATGGTTGGATCTTTTGTTGTGGAAAGCAAGTCACTGCTGTGCAACACAGGTGAACCTGTAGTTTGGTGGAGGACGGGCTTCCACCAAAGAAGTCTTAAAGGGCAGGCATGGCTGCACACCCCTTTAATCCCAGCACTTGGGAGGCAGAGGCAGGAGGATCCCTGTGAGTTCCAGGCCAGCCACAGCTACACAGTGAGATAGTCTCAAAATAAATAAATAAAATGAACAAAAGCTTAAAGAAGTTAGTGCTAACTAAAAGGGTAACTGTGCTGTTCTACACAACAGAGGGAACAGCAGGCGCTGTTTAATCTGGGGAAAGAGGCTAAAATTCTGGTGATGGGCCTGGCTTCTAAAGATGCGTTCTCAGGCCTTTTTGATAGCTCTGTGGGCAAAGGCATTCGCTGCCAATGACATGAGTTTGATCCTGGGAACACATATAGTGGAAGGAGATGCATGCCTCAGCACATACATATGTGAACACACACACACACACACACACACACACACACACACACACACACACTTGCATTTGTGTGCTTTAAAAACTGGGTTCTTTCTTGTAAGCAAGCAGGACCTTGAGGCTTGTAGACATATCAGGAGTTGCGAGATCCTTCCAGTTGCTGCTATCATCTTGTGTGAGCATCCTGGTGTCATAGTTTGGTCTGGACCTTGTGAGGAACCATCGGTGCCTGTGTTGATGAGAAAGCACAAGACAGAGTAGAAGAAATGTGTTCATCGCAGTAGTCAATAGGCCAAATTAACCCCGTGGGATAGTCTTGAACAAAAAGTTCCCCAAATAATATCTACGTGTGGAGCTAAGCAGCGTCTGACTCAAATGCTGAGGCAGAAATTGTGCAGACCTGATATTTAAATGGATGTCAAGTCTTCTGTTGACTGTCCTCATCCTTCAGAGATCTGTAAGCCCTGCTGAAGAACGTGTCGTTCAGTTGTATGACCTCCCAAAGCAGTTGGTTTTTTTTTTTTTAACTTAATTAAGATCAAGTGAAACTGGAGGATTTCTTTGGTAACAATTCTCCCTTGCTGCTCATCACTATTTGCATAGCCATGCTAGCTTTAGCTTGGCCTGGTCATAAAAGGCTCCTAACCTGTGAATGCTCTGTGGCCAAATGCTGTGGGATGGTCTTTCTGTAGAGTGTGAATGTGTTGCCACTATTGGTTAATAAAGAAGCTGTTTTGGCCTATGGCAACACAGGATATGGCTAGGTGGGAAATCCAAGAGAGAATCGGGAAGAAGAAAGGTAGAGTTAGGGAGATGCTGTCAGCCACTGGGGGGAGCAAGATGTAATAAAACACAGGTAAAGCCATGAGACACGTGGCAATACAAAGATTAATAGAAATGGGTTAATTTAAGATGTAATAGCCTGAGCCATAGACCAAACAGTTTGTAATTAATATTAAGCCTCTGAATGACTATTTTATAAGCTGCTGGGGGCCTGCAGGGCCGGGCAAGACA